CTGGCTGGGGAATTCTGGGAGTTGAAGTCCACACATCTTAGAGTTGCCAAGGTTGAAAAACACTGGTTTATGCACTAGCTTGACCATCATTATGGGTGTAAGAAATCCTGAGTTCAGAACTGAGACAAATCTCTACCCAAGAGGAAGAAGGGCCATGTTTTTAAAATAAAAGGCAGCTATAACTCAATGATAAGGCCAAGCTCTGCATGACAAAAGTCTGAGGTTTACTCTTTGGCCCTTCAGGTAAGGTTGGCAATGGCCACAGCCAAACAACCATGTTAAAATAAAACCTAAATCTAAAAACAGCCGCGAATTCTGTCCTTAATGTGAGGTGGGGTGGGGCAAGTATAGCCAGTACTTTGAACAGCAGGCTTAGCCACCTGTCAAGCTGTCTGACTAACCATATTGTGCAATCAGATCACTCTCCAGAAGCCTTATGTTTGGCGCCCTGGCAGCCCAAACCATGGTGGCCATAGAGAGCAGTGCCTAGCAACTCGAGGAGAGGGGATGTGAGGCCAGTAGCTAAAGAGGACTTTAAACTGCCTCAGCTGTGGACTGAAGAAGAGAAAAGCACAATGACATGAAGACATGTTATACAGAAATGGTTACCTGGGAATGTGTTTGCCACAATTTAGAGCAGTGTTTCTCAACCATGGCAACCTTGCTGGCTGGGGAATTCTGGGAGTTGAAGTCCACACATCTTAAATTGCCAAGGTTGAGAAACACTCATTTAGAGGAACATGAAAATAAGTCCAATGACTTAAATCCTGGAGACTTCCATCAGTCTGAATATTTAATTAAAAACTGGAACTAGAGGAAGGTCATCTGAATGAGAACGCTAGAGTAGATGGTAAAGGGGCTCTAATCCTTTGCCCCCCCATGATCTCCCAATCCAGATTGGGGCCATATGCCTGCAATCTGCATTGTACCTAAGAATCAGTTGGTGTTAATAGATCCTTGTCTGGTCATGGAAACTGAAGAAGTAGGAAGACAGTCTGAGTTAGAAATGCACTGAAACTGAATTTCAATTTATAGTATTATTAATGAAGAAATGATGAGATATTTCTGTGTTAAGAAATAATGGGTCCCTAAGGGAGCATTTACCAAATCAGATTTTCTGTTCTGTTTAGAATAAATTATATTAAAGAAATAATATCACAAAGCATAGATTAAAAACCATTAATATTTACATATTGAACCTGCAAGGTTCATTATGAAGTAACATCACATTTATAACATCTGACAGCCTTCCACAGCTGGAAGCCATAGCCATGTTGCATGGGAATACTCAACTTCGGAATCCCAACACATCTGGAGGGCACTAGACTAGAGAAGGCTGAACTACTGCTTCCCAAAGAGCATCCTGGGAACTGTAGTTTTTTTGAAGTTGTTGAAAACTGTTAAGAATCCATAACATTCCCTTTCCAAATGACAGTTCTAGAAATGTAACATTTATTAAATTTCTTAGATTGCTTATCAAATCTGTTAACAGGTTGACTAGAACATTTGGTAAAGTTGGAGATCACTTTAGGCAGTTAACTTAGGATGGTGTGAAAGGGCAATACAATTATTATGACTGCAATTACAACGTCTGAGATGAAGAAGAAATGTTGCTTGTGAGGTTTTCTGCCTCAAACGAGTGATTGGTGGGGTGGCATTTATTGCTTTGTTCCAGCAAAAAACTGTGATATGATCTGGTTTGTAGTATAGATTTGTTTCTAGTTGGTTCAGGACCAACTTTAATTTACATTCTTAATCTGCTTGATTATCTGTCTTAAGAATTGTTGCATCAGTAAATAAAAGCTTTAATTTGTGCATCCCACCTCTGTGGTGCACAGAAGGACTTTTTAATGGCACAGGCAGCATGTATCTGCCAATTTAAACCCTTAGAGCCAGAGTGCAAGACTGTTTGGGGGGGGGGGGGAGGGGCCATACCTAAGTATTCTAAAATGCCCCTGAATTGACTTGCCAATGAGACACAGTATTGTGAATGTTCCTTCTATTGCAGATAGTAAGAAAGATGGGTGTGATATTTTGCTTTCACAACAGTAGCTTAAGAGTGCATACACTAACTGCTGCATACTTTCTGAAAGACTAAGTAAAGGAAAAAAATTACATAGAACACTGTTAAAGTACTACAGATTGTACACATTTTTCATAATCTGTTGTACTTCTTTTCCAAGATGTTCTCAAATATCCACGGTACATTGTTTTTGTCTGCCAAGCTGTATTTACAGGGAAATACGTTGGAACTGTTCCTTGCAGAATATCTCAGATTTTTCAAAATCACTTTGATGAAATAACCCTAACCTCAACTTTCCAATGAAGTTCTCCCCATCTCGGCTCAAGTCAGTAGGATCAGTGGAAAGCAGGTAATTAGATGTCTTGCTCTTTTTTCGCTTTCGACCAGCCAATAAGAAAACCTAGGTAAAAAAAGGAGATCAGAAAGGCACAGAACTGATATGGGAAATCAAAGCATCTTAATTTACTAACTGAAGTCTCTGACTATTACACAATCTAACATCCATAGTGTCCTTGGGATGTTTCCACTCTCCAGCCCATTTATTTATTTATTACAATTATTTGTATGCCACCTACTTGTTCAATTCTAGACGTCTTACAAAACATATGCATTACAAATCCATTCAAAAATCAATCCAACTTTAAGATAATACCCATTGCTGTCCTCAGTTAAAATCTTCCTCACCCAATGGCTTATGGAGGACAGTCTTTGCCAGTTTCCTAGAAAACAAAAGGGTGGGGGCTGTCCTGACCTCCAGGGGAAAGCTGCTCTCCCAAATTGTCACCAGGCATATCATTCCCATTCCCTTATCTCTCTAGGCATGGGCACCCACAGCATCCTCTCTTTGTAAAAAAATGATATATGAAACTTTAAAAACATTACAAATAACATTTTTTGGAAAACATTAGTTATAGTATACACCAGTGTTTCTCAACCTTGGCAACTTGAACATGTGTGGACTTCAGCTCCCAGAATTCCTCAGCCAGCCATGTACACACACACACACACACACACACACGTTATGTTTTGTCTTTAAAGTATATAATAAAATATTACATGCTTAAATATTATATAGAGATAGAGAAATAGAGAGAGAGATGATAGATGATGGATGGATGGATGGATGGAAGGAAGGAAGGAAGGAAGGAAGG